CAAAGACCGATAATCATATTCAATAACCCCTTTATCTTGTCAACAGGTCATCCAACTTTCAAAAATTATATTTTTAGCCTAGATTTCAAAACTTATTAAAAATTTGGTCCAAAATTTACACTTTTGCCCTAGATTTTAAATTTTATTACAAATTGGTCCAAAATTGACCCGTTTTTCCCAAATTATAGAATTTTGTTTTGAAGTCATCCTAACATTAGTTTTTTTACAAGTCACCAAGTCACGAAGGTACTGTTTGTGTTTCCTGTTTTACTTTGGAAATGTACATAATAATAAAAATTCAAAAACGTTAAAAAATAGTAATATAAGTATATTGTTCATGACTCTTTCATTCACTACTAGAAATACAGCCTTTTACGTCGCGCAATGCGTGTTGTAAATCGCTCAGATGAGCGCAATTGCATGTCAAGGAACGCCCTATCATAACGAGAGACGACACGCTTTTGCGCGTCGTCTACAGACGATGCAAATTTATGACGCGCATTTACAACATGCATTTTCGACACACATTGCGTGTCAAGGAAGGCCCTGTCATAAAGGAATATGAAACACATTTGTGTTTCATAACCTTATGAATCGCGTTTAGGACACACATTGCGTATCATTAAATCCATGTCAGAAATGAAGATGACACACATTTATGTATCATAAACTTCAGCAACCATTTACGATATACATTTAGGACACGTCTTTACAATACTCATTTACGCATAATACTGTAACGATCCAAAATTCAAGAATAAAAATTTCTTTTAATAAAACATTACTTAAAGAAAAATCATCAATCCAAAACATAAACAGAGTATTAATTTCCAAAACACAGGTACGTTATCAGAGTAAAACATTCCGAGGTTGTCTAATCTATGGTGTTTGCCATGCGATCACCTCGAGCTCTTCCCTCCGCTACCGGAAGTACCTAAAACCAAAACTGAAAACTATAAGCATGAAGCTTAGTGAGTTCCCCACCCTACCACATACCATGCATAACCACATACTGCACATACTGGGCCACACCCGCTATTCTGGGCCTCGCCCGCTAAAACGGCCCCGCCACTCCAGGCCTCACCTGGCTTCGATCCCTACTCGTATACAGATCTGTCTAACTTAGGCCTCGCCTTTCACTGGGCCCCGCCCGCCAACATATAATAGCTCATAAGCATATAACAACACATAAGCTAATATATAATCACAAATCCTGTCCTAAGGCCTTGCCTATCTTGGGCCTCGCCCTTGTCCTGCTACTGATGAGTCATGGAACCCCATCCACGCCCTTACTGATAGTGAGATATGGGCGCAGCCCACACTAACTCTTTCCCTAACTTAGGCTTCGCCCCTGTTCAGCTGCTAATGAGATGTGGAACACCATCCACACTCTTCAATTGGTGTGATACGGGACCTCGCCCATACTCACCTCCCTACCAGACACATACATGTATCACACAGACAACATGTATAAACTAACATATAAACCATTCCTTGGGCACCCGCCCGTTATCACTGGACCGCGTCCTGAATATCAAACTAGCATAATGTGCCTAGGGATAACCCCCAGGTCTTCCTACTCGTATCTACATGGGCCGGCATTGTGGCCTTAGACCTATTTACACAAAGGGAGACTCACCTGCACTTGCTGAACTTGATGATAACCCCTCTAGCTGCTGCCCGACAACTCTTTGAACTCCTGATCCCCTAGCTCCCCGAGCTAGCATATCAATGCAACACTTAGTCTAACTTTCCCCCGAAAGTCAACCAAGTCAACTCTGGTCAACGATAAAGTCCTGGTCAAGGTCAACCTTCCAGGTCAACCTTACTCGCCGAGTGTGCCTACTGACTCGCCGAGTTCACCGATTTCTGAGTCCTGACCTGTCCAACCCACTAAGTCCCCACTCAACTCACTGATCCGAGTCTTAACTCGAAAGGGTTTGGGGTTTCGCAACTTGACTCGCCGAGTCCAAGAACAGACTCCCCTAGTCCAAGGCAATCTTCAACAGACTCGCCGAGTTGTTCTTCCAACTCGCCGAGTTCCTGCCCAACTTCATCCAACTCGCCGAGTCCACCCATGTGACTCGCCGAGTTGGATCGGTTCTTAATCCATACAGTGGCTTTTCGAGCCATGAAGGGCTCCAACTCATAGATCCATACTCCCAAATCTCAATCCTCACATAAAGTTGCAAACCTTACATATAACTAAAGAGATCAAGGCACAAAACACTCTAGGGCTAGGTTGAGGGACCAAAGGGCTTCACCAACTACTCATCTTCTAATGCTTTATGACATATTGGACCATCCCAACACTAGATTTAAAGTGGCAACAACATATCTAGGACCCAAACTCAAATTGGGTCTCAAACAACCATAAAACCCCCCAAATCTCATAACAAAAATAGATCTAGATGCAAAGGAGGAAAGATAGTAGCTTATTACTTCCAAGATGAACACCAATTGAAGTAGATCCCGGATCTTTACCTCCCCTTTGAAGCAACCTTCTTGATCTTCAAGTTCCTTTCCAAAGTTTTCTTCCTCCAAAGCTATTTCTCTAAAATGATGGAAGCTCACACGAAATCTAGGGTTTAAAGGTTCTCTAGGATGATAAGGAGGCTGAGGGAGGGACATAACACCCATTATATAGGATAAAATTCTCGGGATTAGGGTTTTCCTCGTTCTGACCAGAATCGTCGAGTCCCTTTAGCCGACTTGTCGAGTCAGTCACTAATTCCTGAACCTGGATCCCGCTCGGACTCGGCGAGTTGACCCCTTTGACTTAGGGTTTTCTTTCCTTCTTGGCCTTCCTGACTTTGGGTGTTACAAATACAAAAATATGGAAACAAATGTATACCAAAACTATCAATTTTGTCTAATAACATCATGTCCAAAATTGTAATACATTGGTATTAAGAATACTTGATTGTACATTGTTATCAAGAGGTTTTTCCTAACTATATAACCTAATACTACATTGATATTAAGGGGCACCTTCTTGTTTCAGATACCATGTCCAAAAAAATCCTCCATATCATTGGTTTGCCACCTGGTGTAATAAAAACAAAAACAAATCGATGAATCCTTTTGAATCAACAACTATAATAATACATAATGCAATAAAAAAACAAAAAAAAAACTATAAAAGCTCATCAAACCATCCTTTTGAGTCAGCAACTATCCAATAACTTTGTGCCTCACATCGTGGTCTTGCATCTTTATGAGTCTCTCCACCACTAACAGCAACAAAGCATCATCATCTTTAGCTGCAATCTCAATTCCCTCCTTTATGTGTAACGAACATAAAAAAAAAATACAAAATTAACCTTAAAAACATATAAAGGTAAAAAAATCAAATTTTCTATTTATTTCGAACATCAATAACTATAAAAATACCTTCAAATCAATGATTTTAGTTTTTTCTTAAACAAACCAAGAGGGACTTCACTGCAAAACAATGGGATGCTTTTCTACCTAGTTTTATCAAATGTATTACAAATACAAAGTGACTTCACTGCTTAATTAGGTAAAATATTTAGAGTATAATATCCTAATAAGCAAAACAATTATAAGTAGAATATCAGACATATTTTATTCTTTAAGAAAATCCATGACATCAGGATACAAGGGTGATGGCCAAGTTTGTCTTTCATTTTGTTAAAAACTAATTTGTCCCACATAGCATAGGAGATGCAAGATATGATATCAGAAATATTATATTCTTTAAAGTATGGAAAACTAAAAGTGCTGAAGAAAATTTTGTACATTGTTACCTTTATTAAGTGATGGTTGACTCCTTGCATTAAATGCAACTGCATTAGATAGTCTTTCTCTTAGACCACCAGATAACTTTACTGCATTCATACCAACACTGCATTAAGTACACACCAAACTGAGTATAATCATGGAACACAGTAGGTTCTTGGACTTTTGCAGCAATAATAAAAACTTTACATCAAAATAAGAAACAGGGATACGAAAGTAAACTTCATATGAGACAAAATATGGTAATGACAGGGAAGGGAAAAAATGGAATATATGCAATTTTAGGTAATATGAATAGTGAACAGAGTATACCAAAGCTTTAGAGCCTTTTCTTATTGAACTTGATAACTAGGAAAAGTGACACAACAATCCAGTACATAGCTAGACCATCTAAACAAAAAAAAACTTACATAAAAATAGCAACTAACTCTACTAAGCTAGACTATTTAAACAGGGGTAGGAAAGATTAAACTTTGATAGACTTGAAAAGAAAGAAAAAAGCACACATAAATAAGAAATAGAAACCACTTGTATAACATATTCTACAAGTGCTAAAACATCGAGAAACTGACGTTTATGACCCTATTGGAGTAATCCTTTTCCACAGTTTTGTAAAACTCATATACTAATAAATAAGAAATAGAACTGAAGTTTATGACCCTGTTGGAGTATTCCTTAACCACACCTTTTTCCTTGACACCTTTTGCCTTGACATTATTGTCATTGTGTAGCACGTACCTTTGATTCTATAACCATCCACATTGTTAATGTGTACAAACTTCTCTACAGAAATAGAAGATGATCTTACTCTATCCACATCCACATTATTCTCTGCCTCCAGTTGTGTTGTTGAAGTTGGAACCTTAAAAGAAATGTTCTTAGTTGCATTAAGTTGTGAAGCTTTTTCAGTAGAAATGGAAAGGCATGAGATCTGATTGGTTAATTCATCAACCGGAATGTCTTCTGCATGCAAAAAGTAAACCATGAACTTCAACTTAAAAAAAAATTAATATAGAAAAATACATAAATTAAAGGAGAATATATTATATATCAATGGAAACATACCAGATTGGATAAGTTTCTCAACGGAAATGATATCAGATATTTTATCATTACATGACTCCTTAAGTTGATCAAGCAAAGAAAGAACTGTTTGTTTCCAATACCGAATTGCAATAACAAGTGTAGACTTTCCCCAACACATTAAATCATGAAGCCATATAAAGAACTCTATTATCTTATAGAGCTTTTGCATCCCCTTCTTTCCTTTGAGTCTTATGTTTTTTCATCACAGAAGCATCATCATTATGCACTTCACGTATCCTTTTCTTGTATTTTATCTCCTTATCAACAGTATATAACTTTTCTGTTACTTTAGGATCCAAATGCTGCTCTAAACTTGGTTCAAGATTGGATGACCTAGCTCCCTTGACATTCTTTGAAGCTTTTTTACAGGAACCGTCAGAAGTAAAGTGGTCAACACTAGGGAGTTTCTGATTCACAATGGGTACAAAAATCTTGGGATGCTTTGATGATGATCCATGGATGAGAGATAGTTTTGAAGGACCCTCTGCTTAAGTTTGACTATCATGTGTATCAATCGAACGACTATCTTTTACCTAAGGCAAGGCTAGTTGATCCACTGGCTTATGTTGAATACCATCAAATTGCTCTAAGTGAGAAGCATCTACTAAGAGAAATTGGTTCTTTTTACTATCTCCAAATGTACTCTTAACAAGCATAAAGTCTGATAAGTGATGATAAATTCCTCTATGTTTTACCTACCAGAAGAAAGAGAAGTTTGAAGGATAAAAAGCTATAAAAAAATATTGATAATCTTTACACAAGGTTATATGAAGAAAATACCTTTAAACAATGAATTTTAATATCTCCAATGGCAGGAAAGTACTGACGATGTTGTAACATAATTTTCCCTGCACAAAAACCATGATAAACATTTGATAAGAATCAAAATCTACATTTAGTGGGCATTCAGTATCCCTACCAACACACCAACAGATATTCTATAATACTTTCATATTGTTGGAATCCTATCACTACAAAAGGGTATTAGTCTCGCTTTATGAACTGATCATGTTTTGGAAAATTCGATGATGTAAAATAGCTATTGAGGTTCGCATGGTGGCATTTTTCAAGTTTTGACACAAATATTTTGCTTTTGGAGACATTTTCTGTTGCAACATACAATACTTTAATTTTCTGGTGTCGCTTTATGAACTGGTCATGTTTTCTCAACATAGAAACATCATTCAATAGAAAAGGGAGAACAAAGAAGAAAACTCAAGAAAAAAGAGAGCGAGAATAAAGATGGTTGAGAATGAGTAGCTGAGATTGTCCAACAACTTACCTTATGGAAGAGACCACGGGAGGAACAATGAATACATCTTTGAATAAAGATGGAAGATGGAAAAGAGGTGACCATGGGAGATGGAAGTGACAACGAAGAAAAGGCTGTAAAAACTAAATAGAAAACTAGGGTTAAAGGAAGATGAATTAGAAGTAAGAAATAATTAGTACTAGGGCTTATTGTGGAGGTTTAGTTATCGTAATCCAAGTGTATGTCAGTTCCATCATCGAAGGATTTGGGTAGAAGAAGCAAATATGAAAGACCGCCTGAAGCTAATATCAAAAATATGACTTCTTGATGCTTTTGAAAACGTGAATTCAAGGAGAGGAGGAAACCTTGCTGGGCTTAGAATCCCTAGTTCTTTGTTATAGACCCCTTAATCGCAATGATTTTGTAAGGTCTATTTTTGGGAGCAAAAAACCCTCAATGTCAACAGTCTTGTTCCACCTTAAGATTTAACGAATGTGAAAGCTAAAATCCATCATCTCCAAACAATTCCATATGATTTCAACCCTTTGTAACAGCCACTTCAGTTATTCTATTATGTCTCGTACCCGTCGATCATCACCAAAAACCCGAGCAAGTACTAAGTCGATAGAAAACTGAGAGAATCGGGATTTTAGAAGAAAATAAAAGACCTCCAGCTACCAACTAAGAAGCAAGACGCACGTTAGGGTTCTTCTTCTATGTGTTGTTTTGATTTATCGGTGGGAAATCAGAGATAAGCGAGAATCAAGCTTTGCATTCCATACTTCATAGCGATAACTCATGGAATTCACAGAGCTTCATTAAGCCAAACCATGGAAAATAGAAAAGTAGAAATGAAGGAATATGAGAAAAAAGCGGGGTTTTCTAATTTTTGGGGAATTTGTTTCCCACTTAGCTATTAAAGGGTGGAACGCGCGTTCCATTAAAATTTATAAAGCGACATCCTTAGACAACACACATTTTATTATAGGTGCCCTCCGTGTTTTTCTTTTTTGTTTGTTTAGACACTAATGTAAGGGTGCGCAATAATGCATGACCTAAATCTTTAAATTTTTTGAAGAGATGACACTTTTTTAATGTCACACGCTTTTGCGTAACATAAATCAAGGAGTGTTGTGGTTTGCGCGTCGTAAAAGGGTCTGTTTTTTTGTAATGATTGACTTTCCTTAAAGAATTGATTATTATCCATGAGCGATCATAAAATGTTATATTGAGTATATTATTCTTCTGTATAATTATACCTTATATGTAAATGATGAAATAACGTTTGGTAATTTTTATAATGCTTTAAAGAATAATTTCTTAAGCCAAATAGTATAATGGAGTGTAATGAGTCTTCGATCTGAAAAAACTATATGACTCTTTTCTTATAATTCGAATCAAAGTCATTCTAACATCATTTAACGATGGTAGGAAATATCTCATTATAACTAAAATTTAGTAAATGGTCATGAAAAATACATATTTACCCTTTTGTGTGTGGGAGACACTTGAACGAGAATTAACTTGGTAACCATATCCACGAATAAATTTGAAATAAATAACCAACATATAGATCTTATAAAGATTGGACAAAATCTTAAAAAAAAATACATAACTCATGCAGCTCATATTGGAGTTTTATTGAATATTTATAGTAATTATAAAAAAAAAAATATAACATATAGCAATAAAAATAGTATTAGTCGCTATGTCATTAAAGTAATTAATATCCTGACAATAGTTGATTAAATAAAAATATTTCAATTTAATTTATAGTGAAAACTGTAATAAAATCTTTACATATTGACCTCATAATTGATTTATTCCTTACATATTTTTTTTATTCCATTAAGTCCCAAAAACCGATAATCGTATTCAATAACAACTTTATCTTGTCAACAGGTTATCCAACTTTCAAAATTTATATTTTTAGCCTAGATTTCAAAACTGATTAAAAATTTGGTACAAAATTTACACTTTTTGCCCAGATTTTAAAAATATTACAAATTGTTCCAAAATTGACCCTTTTTTCCCAAATTATAGAATTTTGTTATGAATTCATCATAACTTTTAGTTTTTTTACAACTTTTTTCTCAAAACAAAAAAGTTTTGAATAGGTTTTTTCTTTATAAAATCATATTTATACATAAAAAAACCTTTTTTTTACATAAAAAAACATATATTTTTTATAGAATATTTTTTAATAACGTTTTTGTTTACGAAATACCTTTTTATATAAAAATAGGCATTTGTTAAAATACATAAATATAAACAAATCCGTTTTTAAAAAAAATGTATACATACATGTATTTTACAAAAAAATATACACAAACACCTATTTTATTACAAATGCATTTGTATGCAAACACATGTTTATAATAAAAAAATCTATACAAACACTTATTTCATAGTAAACATATACATTTCTTTTGTAAAAACATATTTATATGCACCCAAATAAGTGTTTGTATACATTGCTTTTGTGTGTGTGTGTGTGTGTGTGTATATATATATATATATATATATATATATATATATATATATATATACACTATGAAAATAGGTGTTTGTTTACATTTTTTATGAATATGTGTTTGTATAAAAATGTATTTATAATAAAATAAGTGTATGTAATTTTTTTTAAATACGTGTTTGTATACATTGTTTTATAAAATCAGATTTGTATATATTTATACACTCAATTGATGGGTTTTAGCCGTATGAACATTCCTATGTGCACATACAAACCCTAATGCTTGGATCTAGGTTTCTCTAATTGAACTTGCATGAATCCAAGAATTCTAATGGTTATTCTATCATAATAACAAATAGAAATCATAGTTATAAGTTTACCTTGAATCACTTGTTTGATCTTCTTGTTCTTGGAGCTTTAGAGTCACAATTGTCACTCCTCTAATGGCTTACAAACACCAACTAGCAAGAGGATGATTTGAGAGAGTGGGGAGGGACTTAGAAATCGGCCAAGGTTTCTTTAGGAACAAGAGGTGCCGATTTCCATGACCCCAATGGTCTATTTATACTTGTAAGGCTCCTAGGGTTTCACCCTTAAACCCTAATTGGATAACTTAAGCCCAAAGCAATCCTAATCCCTTCATGATAACCCTTTGGACGGATTTTAGGATTATCCTAAGCCATAAAATCGTCCACCATATCATCCATAAGGAATTATAGCCTAAAGTATAACTATCACACATTTGACAGTTTAAGTCCTTCTATTTAATTAATCTCTTTAAGTCACCAAATTAATTCCTAATTAATTTATGACTTATATTAATCAAGTAATAATAATATTATTCCTTATAATATTTCAACTCTCATTGTAAATCATCCTATCAAGTTGCTATGGTGAAGGCAACCCAAAAGGACCATGATCAATCGGGTCAAATACTTGCTTAATATAGTTGCAGCCTTAGACACTATTCCAACAGTGTCCCACTTGGATAAGTCTAGTAACTATATACACCGATTAGCAATCATAGCTCTCAAAGACGCTGTCAAACTCTGATCTAATCAATCTTGTCCTTTAGATAAGGGATCGTATAGTCCTCTGTATAGATATCATGCTGACATTTATATGGAACCAATTATCCAGCATTTCATTTCTCGATCTCAGATATATTTGACATAGAACTTAATCGAACACATCAATTTAGTTCTGACCGGGCCCGACACATAAGTTAAATCAAATCATCGAGCGGCCGAGATATCGCTTTTATCTTCTTAGGATAAAAGTAACAGATAAACTTCGACTTATATGCATTTAGTTATTCATTAATCAACTATACACAACAATGCGTTTTATAGCATCAAGTTACTGATGCGGTTTCGCATCATCAATGTAAAACCACTTAACAAATAACAAACCATATATCTAGGTTTTAAGACCATATGATATTATCGTCTTGAGATCACCCTTTTGTCACATTCCATAAGGTGATTCCAACAAGCGCGGGTTTGTTCCAATGCTCAAAACTAGTTCATAAGCACTTATGAATGTTGCAACAACCTTTTGCTATGTCTAATACCATTTAGACAATCTACACACCAATTCATGACAATCTTCATTCATACCTACTTCCAACATATGAATGATTGTGGACAATTTGAATAATTCGATTATTCTTAATAAACTCAATTATTCTGGAAGTCAAAACATGCAAAGTGAAACAATAGTTAAATGATTAACAGAAGATAATAACTTTACTTATAAATAATACTCTTTTATTTAACCATCAAATTTTAATTACATTTATCTACTATACGTTTCTAAAACTATCTAATCTATACTAATATCATCCTTCAGCCCAATGCTCCTAGCAGGCTGCAAGTGTTTAACCCTACTCAGTCCCTTCATAAGCGGATCTGCTGGGTTATCTTCTGATGATATCCTCTTCACCATGAGTTGTCCTTCTTCTACACGATGTCTTATAAAATGATATTTTCTATCGATATGTCGAGATCTACCATGATCCCTTGGTTCCTTGGTCAAGGCAACCGCTCCTTCATTATCACAGAAAATCTCCATGGGCTCCTTTATGGTAGGTACAACTCCAAGATCACCAATGAA